TACCATGTAAGGCTTCAGAAGATACTACTTGAACAGAAGAGGCAGCTCTTCTAACAGACTGAAAGGCTTTTGTAAAAGCTTGTTAATACTATTTGATGAGAGCTCCTGAAATTGGGCATCAGGTACTGCACCATCAAAAGAGAACAAGAAAAAGTACACTAGTGCTTAGGTGAAAGAAAACCTTGAGAGTTTTGTGCATTTTTTGTATGCATTCCCTTACATGCTTTGATGCAACCCAGCCTTTAATAAGCAAGTACAATATGCATGTTTGTTGTAGGCATGTATTTGAGACTAATGTTTTCTGGGATTACTTTTGGAAATGTCTTTTTCATGGAAAAGCTGTTCGACCAATACAGGTCTTGTTCATTGTTTTTCTCTCTTTTTCAAGGTTGTACGTTGGTAGTTGCTACCACCATGTGAAGCCCTAGACTGTTTTTCCTGAACAGCTTTGATTGCTCTAAATTGTTAGCCTGGCACCTGCATGACTGTTTAATGGGGATTCTAAGTGAACAGGGCTGCTGGGGTGTTTTATGTGTAGAAAAGCATTTCCTATGCTGATGCCTTACATAAGATGAAAATAAAGGACCTGAGCAGCAAAGCATTGAATTTTAGAATTCAGTTATACATTTTTATGGCTATGCTTGGCAAGCGAGCATTGAGCAATGATCTTCAATTCCCCATTTAACTTGCAGCTCATGTTGACCCAGAGTCAGCGTGATTTTACATGGCTATTACTGGCACAGCACAGCTCCTGGCAATTTTTTTTTTTACCCTAGTTAATGCTTGGAGGAAAATGTTCCAGCTTAAAAAGAAGAAAAAAAGATCTTATTTATTACCTACTGGAAAACTTGAGCAGCATCTAATGAGGTGATGTGAAGCAAATTCCAAGGATCTTTGTTATATAAAGTTTTACCACCTGTTGATTTGACTATAAAGAAGCCTATTCCAAATGTATACGGTGCTTTTAACATTTTTTGGATAATTTTAAAATTAACAGTAATAATTATACATAATATTAATGATAGTTTATCTGCACCGTTTCACTTACAGTTTATCTTGCTTTTCTCATAAAGGTAATTTGTCTTTATCTAAAATAAAGATATTTTGCAGTTTTCCTAGGACTCATATCACTGTCCAAGTTAAGCCTTAAATTTCGGCCTGGGTCCCAGTCAGCGTTTGAAAAAGCGAAAAGATGTCTGTGCCTTGCAATTCGTGTGTGTGAATGATTCATTTTTTATTGCATTAATGTGGTTATCACCTTACAAACTTACTCTTCCCCTTGACCTCTGCTTTGTCAGAAGAGGTTTGCATGCATAGGTGTTAACTGCCTTTAATGGCAAATGAGACCTGAGGTGTACGAAGCAAGCAGTAAAGCCCAGGAACAGTTAACCACACACACAAAAACTTTGAAGAGTTAGCGAAGGACTGTTCCTTGGCTGGTTTCCAATGTATACTCTCTGAGGCCCTATATCTGAGAGCAGGAGTGCCCTACCTATGCTTCTCCCTGCCACAGGATGTTCTCTGGAGAGTAAATTCATTTGCAGAGAAGTCAAGTGCGAGCACCAAAGAAATTAGTGAGTAGCTGAGTTTTTTTTTTTTATTTAATGGGCATCTTGGAAATTTGAATTTCATGGGTAGCTCGCTCGCTCCCCTGGTTCTGTGCCAAGTTTTAAAGGACATTTGAATTTTGTAAACTCATTTGCACATGCTTTCCATATTTTATTTTATTTTGTTGCTGTGGGAATAAGTGCAGACTTGGTTTCCAGTTATGTCATGCTATTTAAGGCTGGGTAACCAAACGCTCTGCATTGGTACTGCTGTCTCAGAACTGCCAGTCTCTCAGTCTTTAATGAGGAAAGCAGGCTGTAGGCAGGGAAACCAGATTCTGGTCATTAACTCTGTGAAAATGCCAAAGTAAAGGGTTTGCTTCAGCAGTTGAGAGAGCACACTGGAGCCTAACAAAGTTAGGGCTGGGCCGGCGTCTGCTTACATCTTCTTTTCACTTTTTTTTTAGTGCAGAGAAAACAAAAAACAAATGTAAAAGTCCCGATGTCACAATTTTCTATTTACATAGCTACTGTAGGCTGGCCTTCTGTTTTTAATGAAGGCTTTTAGCTTTTTTTATTGGCATGTTTAATTGTGGCCTAACTTCACAGATGCTGCCCTTGAGTAAAAGAGGTTTTGAATGTTCTCTTATCTTGTGACCCCAGTCTGTAAACCAGCAGGGTGTGCTGCTAACGGACCTCACCCCTAGTGGTGTTCACCTGGACTTTGGCCAATATGGTATGCTGTAGTGGGATGAACTCAATTAACTCTAGGCATTAGTGCGTTATTCTGCACTTATGGGACAACTGTTCCACACATTTTGGTTTGTGCACTTTTTTCTCCGTAAAGCAAGCCCATCTAAAACCAGAAAAAGAAACATTTAGTTTCACACAACTGTGATACTGTATGTATGTTATTTTTAGCGGGTCCAAACTTCTGCCAGCACTGATTAAAAATACTCCTATTAGACACCAATATCAACTAAGACTTCAAACCTCTTTTAATTCAGGACAGCTGGGATGTAGATGCCAGAAGTAAACAAAATAACTGCACTCCTACACTCTGAAATTTACTCCTCTTGTATTCAGATATATGATAGGTATCAAGTTTTGAAAACCTCTCTTTCAATGCTTGTTGGTCTTGCAGTGAAGACTGCATTTGGTACTGTGAACCATTTTCTTTTGCATGTGAATTTGTCAAGACCAGGGGCAGTGTCTCTGGGTGGTGCTCACAGAGATGGAGGGGTGTATTGGAGGAGTGGACTTTGCCATCGGTGTATTAATGAGCAGACGTGCATCTTGACTGAATGTCTTCTGCTGACGGGTGGCTCTGAAGATCCAATGCACAGCTACATACTGCTTGCCTTGTAATAATCTAGTTGTGTCAAATTTCCTTCCATTAATTATTGAATAATACCGTTCCCTTTTCTTCTATTTTGAATTTATTTTTCTAAAAAAAAGACATCTCTTTCATCTACCGTGGCATCTGTACAGTATGTTTTGCAGTCCCACCTGGTAGATAAGAGTATACTGTATGTGAGTGTTTTGAGAGGAAAACCGTTTTTGTTTTGCTCAAATCCCTAATGGGCAATGATGTAAAGCTATAACTATAAAAGACAAAAGCATTAAGGTACCACAATGATTCACACTTTAGTGATCAAAACTGGTTATATTTTGACCAATAGTTTGACAAATAACTTTGCAGATATAAAGTTGACAACTTGGGACAAGTTGAGTTTTTTTAATAGGCAGTATGTTTAGTTTGGCAAAATTGGAAACTCCTCTGTAGTCTGTGGTTCATCATGTGCAAAGGGGAAGCTTTGATGTTATTGAATGTTTGCTAGGGCTCTTTGGTTCCAACTCATTTTCCGGAGATACGTACTTTGTGTGAAATGCTGTAGACACCCTGCAGCGATCACACATTTCTGTGGGTTGTATTAAAGCCCAATAACTCGCATTAGGTCATGGATACCTTGCAGACAATACTAAATTAACCCAGTTTACTTCCATGGAAAACTCACTTTTAAAGGTTGGTTTTATCTTTGAAAGTCTTGCATTATGTCTAATGAGTATTTCTCTTCTATTTTGTCAGTCATTTACCGTTGTTTTTGTTTATAGTTTATGTTCTTATTTATGATGATCTGTATTTTACAGCCACTTTTTCCGTAGTCTTGAGGTAGTCTCCTTTGATTTACTGCGTCATTCAGGATGCAGTTAACATTCATTTTATGTGTTTTTATTATCTCATCGAGAACCGCAGGCAGAATTCAGAAAGGAAACTGCTTCACTTTTGCTTAACATACTGTATGAACTTTTGCCAACAACAGGAGGAGTTCATTTGGAAGAGTTCATTTGTGTAGACTGCTAGATGCAAAAAAGTAATTAAAGGTAGGAAATTGACAAGGAATAAGTATATTGGAAAAACGTTTTCAAAACTGTGTGCAGACTATGCTTTTTAATACATACATGATAATCAGCTTTGATTTTTGTGTGTGTGTGTGTGTTGGGGGGAAGAGCGTGTAACTTAAAATGATCAATTCAGCACAAGAAAAACGATCAGATATTTTTGTACAGTCAATCCCTATCCATTTCCCGGTAGCCAGCTCATTCGAGATCTACCCTGATCATTGTTTGGTCTGGCGCTGACAGTAGCATTTAAAGGGTCCTTAGACGCTGCACATAGTGAGCTCCCCACCGTTGTCATCTAAGAGAAGGATTATTGGGAAATGGGATTCAAGCAAGCTGTCAGGAGGCCTGGCACAGCCCAACCAGCAGTGACAGAACTGTGTTTTAGTGTGGCCTGGTGTCGAGTCAGTAATCCCTCCTGCTGCATGACAGAGCAGTAAGGCGACAATATGAGAGACCACGGCTGACGGCGGAATTTTGGCAGACCTCTCTACTCCGAAGGCTCTGCAGAGTCTCACCCAGGGCAGGGAAGAGGGCAGGGGGGGTGGCCGGAAACGCGGTGTGGACAGCTGTAAAATTATCCAGACAGGATTCTCCTGCTTTGTTTTTTTTTTTCTGTGCAGAACAAAGGGTCATCCCTTTGGTCCTTTTGTGTTCCTGTTGGTGGTGGTTGTTTTTCAACGTGGCATTACTCTGCAACTCTAAACATAAAATGCCAAGGTTTGTGCACTGGCAATTAGGGAGAAAAGTTCTATTAATAGAAGATATTTACAAATTCGGCAGCTAAGCAGTCTTGGTGACCTGAATGTAAATTTGCTAAGAAAAAAAGGATGTATCGCTGGAAAAATTGATTTAGAATTAGATTAAGTTTTCACCATACGAAATGATTTTTTTTGCCAGTTGTTAACTTTTGTGATTTATACTAATTTGCATATGCTACATATTCTAAAATGAAAATGTGGGCTGTCTCTTAATCTAGAGATTCCATGAACAAGGTACAAGGAGCAGATACAATACCCTATATGTTTTTTTGGTTTGTTTATTCCATAGGTCTGAGCATTCTGCAGCATTCAACACTGACCCAGGTAAAAAATAATGCGCTTTTAAAACTTTTGATAACAAAGTTCATTTGATGTTTTCTATACAACAATTTCATTGGGGGCTTACTGTAAGATTTGTAGTAATTCTAGGAAATGTCCACTCCTATGGAGAAATCGTTTTTCTTTTGAAAAGTAAATTTTCCAGGCACATTTGTTTAGTCTCGGAGATTACAGAATTCCTTCCCCTTTATTCCTCTGTTGTTTTAATGAGCCTCTCTGAATTTACTTCTGTCAAGAGAGAATTCTCTGCATCATTATCTTTCACTTATGTAAAGCTGGGGCTATGAATTTTAATAACACTTTAACCTGGAAGCTCCAGGTCTGTCATTAAACTAGTCCCTGACTCAGGCTGTTTGCACAGTATTTTCTGATAAGACTGCTGCAATCTGAAGAAAAGCTTTGTTGCACTGTCTGTGAGTGAAAATTCCTTTCTTGCTTTTTGGGCTGAATTATTTCAATTTGATGCTTATAGGAGGTATCTTAGAAATTATTATTGCAACTTAAGAACTTTATTTCCTTCTCCATCTACTTGGGACAAGTTGAGGTGTGAATTTTGTAAACTAGTGTATTGAATATAAGATTGTAAATGTATTCTGAAGACAGCAAATTAACTAGGATTTGCGGATTGGAAGAATTTCTAAAAACTGACCAATTGGATTCATCTAGGATTGTAATTTTCTCCTACGATAACTGTCATTGTTATGCACAAAATTGATCTTCCAAATATGAAAGCTCTTTTAAATGTTCGAATTCCTGACATGATGCTACTTTGTACCTGTTCTTATTGTTGAATAAAAATAATAGATTTGACTATGCAACAAATTAATGTTAATATAACTTTCTTTGAAGTGTATAATTGCGAATATATAAATATCTTTTCAAAATGAATTAACTGCTCTTAAAATTGTGTAAATGTGTATTTTTTGTAGTATCTGCTGACTCGCTAATTGAATGTGTGAAGAGCAAGGATCTTCAGAAGGTGAGCACATGTTAAAGTGTTAATTACTGTAGTACATTTAAGCAAGCAACCAAGTACTGTAAGTAAAAGCTTGGAGAGCTTTCATTTTTAGTTTTCAGTGAAGATCACTCAGTTTTCATTAAATAAAAGGCATTGAGAAAGTGATTCTTTAAAGCCATCTTTGAGAAATCACTGACTTCTGCTGTTTTCCATTCTGTTCATTTATATTAATAAAGGGAGCAGGTTTTAAGCCAACTGCTACCTGAATCTTTGTCAAGTTATTTCATCAGGCACATGTGCGTTTTAAAGAAGTAGCATAATGCCTGTTTTGTGTGTGAAATAAACCACAGGAAAATTCAAAGAAATTGCCTACTGTTGCAAGAATTGCAAAATCTCTTGCACTATAATAGCAGAGAGTTGAAAAGGTAATAAATTATGTGCTGTCAAGTGACCTAAGATCAGCTTTCCGATACCAAACGAGTACGGCGTGCATCATGAAAAGACATTCGTTGAAGGATACAAATAGCTTCCGTCACGAGCGTGTAAAAATTGCCTGCATACAATTCACATTAGATTCATTGTATCAGTATGTCTTGCATTTTTCTTGTGGCACCTATCCTTGACATGCGGGATTGTTTCTTGTGAGATAGGGAATAGTGTTATCGTGCTTTAAACTGTATAAAAAACACTATAAATGAAGTATGTGACCTTTCAACTATTGTATTTTTTCTCCTTATAGTATACCATATACATCTCATTGCAGCTATCTGAGCTGGTTAGTTTGCTTTTATTGAGCTAAGATTCAGTGAGGCATTACTTCTGTTTGGTTAAGGTGGAGATGCAGGTGAGGACACATAGTTAAGAAGGTTTTAGATAGCCACCTGGGTTTGCCATGTAACCTTACTTCTAGATTTTAATTAATGTGTTTGCTAAACAGTTCAGCAATGGACACTGTGTGTAAATTGCTCAGAGGAGAGGCCAATAACCTTAGACACCATTATGTGGCGATACCGTAACCTTTGTAAAAGGCAAAATGCTGGAAAAAAAGCTCGAGAAACAGAACCAAGGTGATGTTGGTGCTTTCTCTGCGTCGCCAGTTGAAAGAGTTGCACAAGATGGGTGGAGACTTGACCATCCAGGACTCAGCTGGGTGGACATTGCTGCACCATGCCGTAGAGGCTGGAAGTAAGGAGATCGTCAGGTACATCATCGATAATGGTAAGGTCACCTTCCTATCATTTGTGATGTCAACTCAAAAGCCTTCAGTTGATCTGAAAACATATAGGTGTGCATTCTGATACCATATACTGACTTCATATACTGTAGATGTCGGTAATCAATAGGTAAGAATGAGCAATTGTAGCTCCTTGCCTTTTACTAAGACATCTGACTGTGGAAGCAAGAGTTAACAATTAATATCTTCTTCTTTGTTCCGTTTCTTGAGCTAGTGTCCTTGGAAGCTGCACTGTTGGGCACTGGCTTTTGCACGTCATCCACCAATCTCCTAGCTATGCAGAACTGTGTTTACCAAAGCATGAGGCATCCAAGTGTTTGAGCAGCTCTGCGAACACTAGATTCCCACTGGCAGTTGATCATCAACATAAACCATTTGCTGGTTTCAGGATAGATAATTCTGGATGATTCAAGACAAAAGGCGATAAAGCCGACATCTCCTAAATGAAATTTTGACATCAATAAAATGTAATATTCTTAACTTCACAACTGTTCAGGGTTTGTGAAGTCAACAAATATCCTGGAACTGATGGGCACTGCAATTATTTTCTTTCTTTTCAATAAAAGTGACGTATTTGAGATTTTGGTGGAAGTGACAGATAGATAAACACATGCATATGCACACTGTGTGCCGGCACACAATATCTTCCAGTACAGAAACAGTCTGAAATTAAACCCAGATTGAATCAATTATAGCTGAGGTACAATAAACGTATAACTGCAAAAATTAATTGCTCTCATAAAAAATGCTTCTTGCAGTAGAAAGCGCTCCTCATTTTGTATTCACAGTCATAGCATTTTTCACAAGACGGGAAGCAAGAGAGGAGTCCATTCACCTGAATGCACTCAGAGAGTGTGATTTCCTGAATTGCTCTGATACAATTCTGAGTGTATGTGCTGGCTGCTGTTTCATAGGGACATGCTCAAGTGACAAAATGTGCATCATAACATTGATATTTGTTTTAAGATCACTTTGTAGCAGCTGCTGTAAATGAAGCTGAAACAAATGTCATGACCTCTTAGGCACACCTGATGTCATTCGCCCATGGTCTAAATTAAAATGAGCATTCAGTAAAGATCAAATGAAGATCTTTACAAACTGACCCAAACCACCCATTCCCCTGCCTCTACCCCCCCACCTACACAAACACACACACACCCAAACCGAAGGGCTTCATCCCTAAGGGCTTCTCTGAGGACTGGGTTCATGGGAACGCCACAGGGGTTGGGGGTCTGTGGAGCGTCTTCTATTCTTGATCATCTCTGCAGAATTATACTTGACCTTGTCAAGAGCTGCAAATTGTGAATGGCCTCAAAAGTTTGCAAAGTCTTCTTTTGGGTTTGAATTGTTTTTCTTGATCAGCCATTCTGCAAGCTTTGTTTTCGGTAGGAGTAATCAAAGTTATTCTGTTTCTTGAACAGCTCCAACTGAACTATTGGATGTAACGGAGAAAGAGCAGTAAGTAATGATATAGCCCATGTTTTCACATTTGCTTGAACTTAGAAGAAGTTATGTTGTTGCATAATGCAATCTGATGTCATTCCAGTGGGTGTAGTTGTGTTTTGCCGTTTTTCACACCTTTCTTTTAGAGTCAGGTTCTTAAATAGCCTTCCTCCTTACATCTGAACTGTGCAAACTCTGTGTGCTGCTGGGAAGGTGCACATGTCTTCAACAATATTTTGACTCCTGTAACCAAGCAACAGAGCTTCCTTTAAAAGGCTTTTTAGCAGTCAATTCAATGGCAAGTATTTTGCAGACTTTGCAGTAGAATAGCAGTTCATTTATAAAGTGCATATACGAAATTATATTTTGCTTTGACAATCGAATTATTTAATTTTTTTGTTGAGTCAAAAGAGCAGGCTTAAAGGTTTTGGATCAGGAGTCTGTCACCAGCACGCTTTACAGAAAAGAGAGCTCTTGTTCTGCGAGAACTAATTATCCCATCTCTCTCTCTCTCCTAGCGGAGAGACCGTCTTACACAAAGCGGCATCTCTGTGCCAGAGGACAATCTGCCACTACCTGGTGGAGGCAGGAGCGTCGCTAATGAAAACAGACCTGCAGGTACAAAGAAAAGGTTCAGATATGGATTAAAGCAGTCTGATAGAAGCGGGGTCAATTTCTAGTGGGATCCCAGGGCTGTACACTGTTCTGGCAAAATCAAATGTTCAATGTGTGTCTATATACGGTATTTATATAACACAGAGCACCTATTATATATGGGCTGTTGCTGCTGTATCATGTGGCCCCAGCGCACACTTTATTCATTTTGAATGCTACAGATTGGATAAAATGCATGGTGGAGTTTCATCTTTAATGCCCAGTTTACCCACAATGCCCTCTATCCACCCAAAGCATAATGTGTTCAATGAAGGTCTGGGTAGATACTGAAACAGATTTGCTTTCCTCTAAATGTCACAATGTAGACACACAAGTATGCTTTTTATTCCTCCAGACCACTGTGTGAGCATAGTGTACAAACAAAACTATTCTGTCTCTTTGCATGTATGTTTTGGGTGTGAGTTTTGGTAGCAAGGGTTGGTACTGTATTTATACAAATCGGAACTTCCTAAAGATAGCTGTGCGTTTTGTTTGTTAAACTTCAAAGGTAGGAATGGAGAGAACATACCCCAGAGCATTTTTGACTCGCCGACATCCTTGTGAAAATAAGATAAATAAGAGTCGTTTTCTCCTAGCAGCAAAAATGACAAAGGCACTAAGCTCTGGCTGACATTGATAAAACATGTAAAGCCATTTTCCACAAATAAATCTGAGAATGGCTGTAAAACCCAGTGACTTTTGATGTGCAGCATAATCCAGAGGAAGTTGAATTTCACTGCTTTGAAGGTGTCTTGGGGACTTCAGATGAATTTTGATGCTTTACTGCTTAATTTTTTCTCTTTGTAACCTACTTCCAGGAAAAAAATGTTTTTTTCTTTGTTGTACATAAAGTTGTTCTGCCCAGTGTGGATATAGACCCATTCTGTAAGAAATGGCTTTAAATTTATCTTCTGTAGTTCTGGAATGAACAGTCTAAACATGCCAGGAAAAAAAGACAGAAAAAAGTAAACATTTTGCTCTCAGTGATCAGAAAAGGGCGATACATTAAGGTAACTATGTGTACAGTAGGCGGTGTATGTAGTAAATTAGGGTGATGACAGCAGTAAAGCATTCAAACTAGATTCCTGGAGAGTGAAAGCAAAACACATGGGCAAGTCTATAAAATTACAAAAGCAAATAACAGCATCTTAAATTGCATAATGATAACATGCCCAAAATGTCCAGCCCCTAAGGCAATCAGATCGATAGATAGCTTTAAAATGAGAGGGTAGTTGATTTGGTTGGAATCTCCTTTAATATAGGAAATATACAGTGTGATGGGAATTTTCTGTGAGCCTATGCATTAGGCCACTTAGACTAAGAACATCTGGAATGGGGCACCTCACTCAGTGGTTAGTAATTCAGCATGTGGCCGGAATGAAAATTGCAGACGTAATGCCTTCATTCACCACATTAAAAAAAAAATATATATACATACACAAGACACCCATGTTCCTCTGTAGATAGACTCATCAGTACCTAATGAGGGAAATTGCTGCGGTAGGACACTCCCTTAAAATATTACATGACTTGGACATTCCTGCAGAGATGAAACACTGCTCTCTGTCGGAGAGATTTTGGCATCAATCCCAGCTGGCTCCTCCATCTTTCAAGAGCCTGGAAACATTCTTGATGAGACAAATGGCAAAGCTGCACTTCTAAATATCCTCACTGTATGAGAAGGCTACTGTATGGTTAACATAATCTCTGGTTTTATAGCTGTTGAATCAGGGCATGTGACATAATGCTTTGTGAATCCCTTAAGGTTATTATAGTAATTTTATTGTTGATATTATGCCATCTATTATAACACTAGGATGTTGAACTAATGTTAGTCTGTCTCCATTCTCAGAGTCTGTTCTGGACAATTGAAGTTTAATTTTTTCCCCCCTATATTTACTGTAGTTATACGCTAGGGCGATTTCAAACAGTACTGCTGTTGGTTTCTTTGAGGACTGTTAAAATTGCCATGACAACAAGGAGTATTTACACCTTCATTCTTCCTTTTAAAAATTAGCACCTGTAAATGTCTCTTTTCCCCTTAGCAGCTTGATGCCTTCTATGAGGTAGGAAAGGAACATTCAGCAGTTCCCTTAATTCTTGCTTCAGCAGAACTAACTGCCGTTGATGACACATTTCAGCTATCTGGTTGGTATTTTACCTCCTCTGTGTCCTGCTGTAACAGCAGGGATGATAAATGTTAGCCATCAGTGAAAAATGTAATCCTGCAGCCACAGAGACAGGCTGATTTATTTGCCTGCTGGTTCTGGACAGTGTAAGAACCTACCTCCCTGTGTGGGGAAAGAGGCAGTGAGATAAAAAAAAACTTTGCCTATGAAGAGGAGTGTTCTCATTCTTTAGCAGAGGCAGCCTGGAAGTTTTGACAGCCTGTGATTTCAGATCACGTCAGTCTTTTGACTTTCTGAATGCACTTCCTTTAAAACCAAGAAATAAGCCAACATGCTGTTTTTCTGATATCTGTCTTCACTTTCTGGATGTGCTGCTGAAATGCAATAAAATCATATAGTAATCCTGAAATGCAGTCTAGATTATCCAAGGAAAATAAGAGCTTTGATTTATTTAATTTCTTGTGAGTCTTTCCTCATTAGTTTCCAGGTAAATAAAAATATTACTGTATGGTATGTGACACTTAACTCTGGGAAGAAGTCCCTGGAAGTCCCTGTATTGGAGTCCCTCTGAAGATCTAAACATACGTTTAAAATAACATAAATAATGAATTATAAAAAAGTGGGGAAACACCTAAGTAACTTCAAAAGTCACCCCCCTTGTCACAATCCCCTTGTCACCCTTATATCATGAATTTGTAAACCTATGGAACAAGTTTGTTGTGATCACCTACATCAGTGAATTGTTGATTAAAATGTTTGAGGGCATAGGAAATGCCAATCCCAACATCCTGTAGCTCTCAAGGACCATAGATGGCCATTCTTGATTTACTGTAATTGAACCAGTTAACTTAAATCGATCAAGTCAGGGGTGTGTTCCTTTACAAATAAGGCTCTCAGTGGTGACCTGCAGGACACGCTGGACTGTGGCTGTCCACAACCACTGGCCAGCAGTGGTTTACAGTAAAAATTCAAAGACTAATGAATATTTGTACATCTTCATAGTTGAGACACTGTCTGCATAGATGTTTTTTAATTAACACAGGCAACTGCCAAAGTAACTGCTCTGTAGTATGTAGTGTTTTTACATTCTGACTCTAAAGTTTGGCACTGATTTATTGCAGGATGTTTTTAACAAGTTTTTATTGTCATGTCATTTACCAAACCTCTTTATACCACACTGTGTCACGGGAAGCCGGAGCCTACCCAGCAAGCAACAAGCGCAAGGCAGGGTACACCCTGGACAGGGCGCCAGTCCATCACAGGACAAGTGCAAGCCAGTCATACATGGGGACAATTTGGAGGCCACGGTAAAGGCTGAGGGGGGAAATTTGGCCCGGACACCGGGATAACTCCCTACTCTTATCGAGAAATGCCCAGGGATCTTTAATGACCACTGAGAGTCAGGACCTCGGATTAATGTCTCATCTGAAAGACAGCGCCCCCTACAGTATAGTGTCCCTGTCACTATACTGGGTCATTTGGACCCACATGAACCGCAGGATGAGCGCCCCCTGCTGGTCCCACTAACGCCTCTTCCAGCAGCAACCATAGCTTCCCAGGAGGTCTCCCATCCAGGTACTGACCAGGCTCAACCCTGCTGAGCTCCAGTGAGCTGCAGGGTGGTACAGTATGGCTGCTGGCTCACGTTTTTATTGTATTTATTTAGAATTTTCAAAAGAAAAACTCACGTGGAAAACGGGAAACCACGTCTAAATAAGGCTTCGGAACACAGTGAGCATTTCTGAATTGGCAAAAGGTTTCTGAGCTGCACTTTTCAATCAAACAATTTCTTTGTTAGATACGATCTTAAGCATTTCTCACTTTTCTCCAAGGTCAGATGAGGTATTTTGGCTGCAGGTAGACCTGCCAGCTAAGCATGCTGTGCCTGAGTAACTCAGAAGGCATCGTTTAGGAGTCACAGTCTGAGTGCTCAGCAGTTACAGTCACATCTAAAAGCGTGTTAGTCACATACACCCAAAATCGCTCTGTTACAGGACATACAAAAGGATTGTGGCAACTATACACTGAGTACCTCTGTGATGGAGAAGGATGAGAGCCGTCTTCATCTGGAACTGATGATATGCTGGCTCACACTTTGAGTTCAGGTTTAAAATGGATTAGCTGGTTTGCTAGGAAATTCTGAGTAGAAACAAGACACAGAAACATTTTATGTTAAAAGGCCTATTGGCTATAACTTCCAGGTGCAAGCTGGAGACCTGAAAGAAATGAGCTGGGGTCAGGGGAGGAATGATCTTGTGAGGAGTGAGCCCAGAGGAACGAACCAGATGAAGAATCATCGGACAGCTGGAGAGTTTTTTTTAAATGTATTTCCTCAGATAGGAGAGGCAGAGAGGTGAGAGAAGTCTGCTGATGTGATTACACTACACACACACTTTTCCAGAAAGAAGGTTTTTTTGCTGAGCCAGTTGGTGTGACAGACATTAAACTCTAGGTCCTTGCGTTCTTCCTCACCACATATCTCCTTCTCTGCCCTAAGGATGTTTATCTGAGCACCTCAGGGAAGAGATACAGCTGTTAGAAGTGGTGCTGGTAATAATGTTGTACATGTGCATGATAGCACCTGTCTGTGTAAACAGACTTGTAGTAGGATTAAAGCAGCCACAGTCATTGTGGCCCGGAAAAGTTTGCATTTACAGTCCATACCAACAACTAAGAAACAAAGATTTAGAATTATACCTTTGCCATTGGTCACCCTTTGAGCAAGAATAATACAATACTGTATGTCTTGCACTCTATTACATTTTTGTTCTGATAGTAGAGAGGTGTCCCATCACCATCAAAGAAATAGTGTGATTTTTAGTCTTCATTTCTTTTCATTTTAGCCACCTGGTTGCCTCACTCATTTGGGGGAATATTTTGTAGTTCTCTGATATTACCTTGTCTGGTTCATTCCTCTGGGTTCACATCCTGCAAGGTCATTCCTCCTCAGACCCTAGCTCCTTTCTCTCAGGTCTTCACATTGCATCTGTCCATTTGATAAGCTGCAGAGAAATAAAGACGCAGGAAAGGTTGAATAACTGCACAAACCTACGTCTTTTGAAGGCAACTGATCTGAGCAGATCAATCCTCATGTGAAAATCAACAGAGACAAAATTGCAGACCTCTGCAAAAATATATTTCCAAAGGCTCCAGTTTGTTTCCTGGTCTCCTCTGATGGTTTAATTGCCTGTCAGGTTCAAGCTTTGAGAAATGTGACTTTGCATCTTGAACTTTCTCCTGATCAACTTCTAAAATGACTAGGAGAAGGCCTTTTTCCCCATTTTTTAAACCCAGTCCCCATTAGTAAACCTTTTGTTGTACTTCTGTTTTTTAATAAAATACAGGTCTACCTCTCATTAACCTGCTACTTTTGAAACTCAACAAAATCTCGTTCAAAGCTGTAATTTATAGGATATTGGATATCTCAGTGAATACAGTACATCAGTTATGCAAAAGGGTCCACCTGGCCTTTAGAATTTAGGTTTAATACCAGGTTTCCATCTGTGGAGCAATGAGTGCAAAGGTGTCTCCCGTACACCCACCACTGTGTGTCTACAACAGTTGTAGCTACTCAGTACAATTGACAGCTTTGTTAAAATGTGAGTGAACTTCAGGGAGAAAAATAGAGCCTAGTTATAGCGCCATTTGGAGCTTTTTAAAGCTGTCCACCAATCATTAGCACCATGCTTCATTACCCTTCCCCTGATAGAAACCAGCAGCAAGCAGAAATTTGTCATGTCATGACTGTTCATGCCTTGAGGGATTGCAGACATAAATCTGTATAACCTTCTGAGTGAAGGCATCATTTTCCCTGGGGGTTTTTCTTATTACCATTTTAAAGCCTATCCCTGCAAACTCTGCACAGAGGGGAAATGGGGCAATGCCTAAGTTCACCAGTGCCTATACTAAGAATAGGCCAAGCTTGTGCTGGCAGAGCTAGACAGACAATTGAGTGCTGCTAACAGATTGTTTTTATGAATTGACAGAGCTCATTAGTGGACACTGTCCAGCTGGCAACAAGAACCAATTAAAACCTGAGAAAGAAAGAGATGGAGAGAGGGTTTGCCAGACCTAAAAGGAATTTTAACTCTTAACAGTCACAGAAAACCACTCACAAGAGGCAAGGGTTCTAATGAAAAACATATTTTGTAGAACATAGATCCTTGCTTCAGCACCAAAGTAAAATGAGTTGTTCATGCATTTCTAGATTGGAAACTCTTAAATGACAGAGGATTACGAATAAACAGTTGTATATGGTTTAGCTAGTAAGTGTAACTCTTAATGATGAATGAGCCCTCAAAATGTTTTAATAAGGCAGATTTGTCCAATGCACCTCTTATTGCTTGGATCATGGTAATGAGCTGCATATATCTTAGTCCATAAAGGATAATGCAGTATATATAGAATTGTCACAAAATTATTAAACTCTTAATGCAACAGCAGTTTCTGTCTCATTTTTAACATGTTTAATAAAAAATCAAATTGATCAACTCCCCCCCCCCCCCTTTTAAGCAAATTTGTCTGTATATGCCATATGACACAATTACTGTTTTGACAACACCCTTGAATCCTGCTGACCTGGCATGATGCAGTCTGGCAGCTGTGCTTTTTCTGACATTTATTTGATGGATTAGTGGGTCACAAGATCTTGTAGAATTTACCACAGCAGTAGGTTTTTGATACTTTTGGCTGATACTGTATGCTGTTGTCTGTTTACTGGTTTAGTATTTGTGTATACAGGCTTTGTGTAGTATCACAACCAGCCATCATTCAATTGATGGTACAGTATGATGTACCCATAATCCATAGCCTTGTTGAAAAAACTTTCAGAATGTTACTTACCCTGTATTTGTTTATCTCTCTAAATAAAACAGCTTGGAATTCTACTCCCAACTCTGTAAATCCATGCAAATTGGTGTAATTTTGTTGCATTACAATTTTATTCTTTTCTCATCGTGTTATGTATATATCCTCTGCCAATCTACAGTTACACTTCTGTGTTTTTACTGAATTTTAAGCACAAGTGTTTTTCTGAACAGAAAACCACCTATGAATACATGCAAAGTTTTAACAACATGTTTGTAATACTAACAGTGAATGGCATAGCATGCTGTACCTTAAAACACATTTTAGGAGTGTCTCACAGAAAATTGGTGCAGATGAAAATAAAGGACATCAGGAACTTGAATGTATTCTTAAGATAAGGCTGTAGATTCAAGCAGAGCTTATTCAGTTACTCCCCAAAGCTGATTCTAGATTACTTTATTGTGCTGATCACAAAAAACAGGAGTTTCAGAAATGTCTGTGCAGGCAGGTGGGATCAACAGATTCTGTTAAAATTATTTTATATTGCCAAGCTGTTGACAAAGAAAGGTCTGTGATGCCTGTAGCTAATAAAATGTCTTGTTTTTTTAAAGGAAAGGCTTATGTATGTGGAAGGAAAACATACCGTTGTGTCATTTAAAAAAAAATATATATTTACAAATGTTTTTTCCAGAGATTAAACATGGAAGGCATTGTGAAATTCAGAGTTCCATTAGATGAAGGCTGCAGCTTCTCAGTTTAGGTCAAATATCCTTCCTTGAGTGAAAAAATGGTTTTATGATCCAATTTATTTTATACATTGGGATAAGAACCACACAATGACGCAATCCAACACAGAACAGCATTCCCAAGCATCTCTCCTCGGGTATCTACTCCTCTCACACCATTCCACAACAGATCCTAAACATCCACATCCAAAAATAAAACATGAAGATGAATCCAGCAGTGCTGTAGTGAGATTTTCCAGGCCCGTATAGTCCCCCACCAGGCCCCGTTGACCTAGGCAGTGGATAGTTCTTTATGGACGACCTCAAGAAAGGCAAAACCCATTAACTCAATGCAACGTAATCGATTTGTTACCAATGCAAGGTGATCACTCTGTTAGCTGCCATAATGCACGTAAGCCAAACGTTTATCTGTTACACAGACTAATCAAGAGAAGAATCCTCATTTGGCAGGAGGTCTAGTGGAGAGCAATAAATACTTAGAACTGCAGCTGAAGGTGAACTAACCTGTCCCTGAAAGGGTCAATTTTGAACATTCCCGAATTTCTGTATAAAAATGGGGGTCCTGTTGTTTTGTGGGATGAGAGTCAAAGGTGATTGGGACTTCTTGAAGTTATTCCAAATTATTCTTAACTGTCCCAAGGAATGTATTCATTTCAAGGAGGAATATATCTATAAATAAATAGCATTAGTCATTAGTAAGTGGTAAACAGTATATGAAGTTTCCCAACAAATCAGTCAGGAAAATGGAGACTTGTCCTGCTTTAAAATACAGTATGAATGGAAGAGTATGAAGACTACTTCTGCCTTGTCCATCCGTCATATTGTATTGGAGGGTAATATACTGTATATATAGCAGTTTATTCTTCTAATACATTATCTCCCTAACTTTATGGATCTCTCCGAACTGATTTAGAAACTACCAGAGAGAATCTCACTCCAAATAGTCAAAGGACTTCAGAAAGTATAGCAGGGGTAGAGGCTGCCCACCACTTGGAGATAAATCAGGAACAGGAGGTTGATTTTTGTTTTTGTTTTCCAGGGTGACACCCCAAAACATTGCGCAGAGAAAGCCAAGGATCAAGAACTGGCAGCGTACTTAGAGAACAGACAACATTACCAGATGATCCAGAGGGAGGACCAGGAGACAGCTGTATGATTAGCCCAGAAGTGCCAAATAATCCTGTACCAAAAAAATATAGTTAGCAGATAAAAACTCAAGGGACTGTCAGGGTCGACCAGAGGCGTCTCTAGTCCTGGCCACAGTTTTCCTGTGAAAAGGGTAAGGCAGTGTGGCTCATTTGTGCCCCTCTGCCACAGACGTGCTTTTGTCTAAAAGATAGAAGAGGTGTTATTGCCTTTCTTAAAGTCCAGGCTTCATTTTATTGCTGGCGAACCACAAAAAAAAATTGTTGTTAATGATAGAGCTGGTCTTGGGGGGTGTTCTGTTGTTAAAGAAAAAAACAATTGTAAAAAATAAAATCTGGATTCCTTTGCTTACACTGCTGTTGATAATCGGAAACAAATGCTCTGGATTTTGAAGGGTATTGGCACGTTTTAATGCAGGGAAATGCCTTCAATGTTAATCTCCTCTCAGGTGATTTAAATGTGATTGAGTTTGCATTTAAGTAAGAGAGTAAGAGATCTGGAGATGGAACATTTTTGGTATCTTCATCATTTTATGTGACTGCTACAAATCCTTTAATATTTTGAATGATTTTCAAACTTTGTTTACTTAAACTGCAGTGAGTAGTTTTTATTCTTGTACTGCTAAGTTAGAAGGGAAGGTTTACACTGAATGCTTCTTTTTTCTGTAATTTTTAAAGATTTAAATTTAACTTTCTTTTTAACAAACGGATGCTGTTCTGTAGAAAGAATTGCAAGTTGTATCTTTTAATGCTGTACTGTCTTGTAGAAACTCTTCTCCAGCACTCACTTGGCTTCCAATACAAAATACTTGGTACTGTAAACTTCTTTAGTAGCTTGAGGTCAAAACATTTTTGTAGGAAAACAAATACCTGCTCTGAATGCCTTGAAACTGTTTTTTTGCTTGTTGTTCAGTTTTCTAAATGGTGTACTTCAGTCATGAGATATTTCCTATTACAGTATGGAGTAAATATTTATATAAGGAATAGCTGTAAAAATATCTTACTTTTGTGGATTTGTTTCGTGATGTTCAGAGTTTGTATCATAAAAATGTACATTTTATATGTTTTTCAGAATAAATAGCTATTATCTTCTAATTTACTGTTACATATAACCAGGATAGCTTTATAGAGACACCTTATTGTTTACTTCATTTAAAGGTTGAGAAAGCTTGCTTGGTTTAACAGGGTCTGGGCTTCACAGTTTGAGTTGTTTGAGTTAATTCTTGCTCAGTTTCTGGGTTCAGATCTTTTATTTTTAAAAGGTGGGGTGTTATTTTCCAAAATAATGCTTTTTATTTCAGTTCTTGTTGCTGTTTTTATTTTAAAAATATTTGTGAACCCTATTTATTATCAAAATATTTGTTCTGTGTACAAACTAAGATTGGCCTTTAAACATATTTAATTAAACAATTAAATTTTAATTTAATTTATTGTTGGGTTGGAGTTAATTATTAATTTTCTGGATTGTTTATATTTAAAGTGTCACAGTAATTAAGATTCTGCATCTGAACATTTACAGCTAAATGCCTCAGCAGATTGTATTTCAGTACTTTTTAATATTGTAATATTTACAAAATTCTGTACCTAAAGTATACATTTACTGTAGAGTGAGATTGGGTAAAAATATTGAAAGTTTGATGTAATTACGAATTTTAGTTCAAATTATTTGTTTGCGTTGAAAAATGTTATACATACGGTATGTTCAAATGAAGGTTTCCATTTACTCAAAATATCATTATTGTATGACTGTATGTATTATCTTTTAATTCCATTACAGGTGTTTCGATCTCCTTGATATTTTCAGAAGAAATTATGCTTTGTTAGTTGCCAGAATGTTAGGATTGTGGACTCCCAATGTGATTAAATTACAGGACCAGTGTTAAAGTACTGTACGTTTCAACATCCATATCCACAGACCTAAACTATTTGAAGGATGAAAAAATAATTAAGAATCTGTATTGCTGGCAACAGTTTTTTAACTGGCTGCCAACCAATTCAGATTTCGATGTGAAAGGTAGTCTTTCTTTTAAAGCAAACATATGGAACTTTTCTTCAAGCAAGCAAATGGCAAAGGTCTCGGAATATAATTGCAGCTTTTATTCAGGACGTTCTTAGGACGTGTTTAATTGATTCTTATAGATTTATGGAAGTTGTCATTTTAACAGCCATGGCATTCTGTAAACATTTATTGAACCAATCTTTGTGTATATATGCATTACTGTATGCAGGTATACAGTAGTTGCATACAATATACAGTATACAGCATGTGTACAAATGTATGCATTTGTATACTGTACATGTGCATCCATGCTGGTTCTCTCAATGTAAATTGATTTTTTTCACTTTTTCAGCAGTTGTATTTACTTGAGTACTATGAGAAGTATAAGATTTAAGATGCTAATAGTATTTGACCGTGAAATATATATTTAATTATTAAAGGTTCTACAATACCTAGTAATACCTACTATGCGATTATGTACATTTTGCATAGTATACAATATGCTTTCATAGGTTTTTAAAGTACAGGATACTGTAGTCTCAACATCGATTCTAGCTTCTTTCTTATTAACAGCATTGTTAGAGTTGTAAGCTTGACACCACTTTTATTAATGTATAGCCTTTATTTAAAATGCTCTGAAATGGCATCCACTTATACTTTTGTGTTTCATTTGCAGCTTTTAAGGAGTCTAGATTATAGTCTTATTGTTTGGAAGAAGTCAGTTGAAATAATGACCTCCCTGTTCTTCATGGTGAACAGAAGAAATTCTCTGAATCCACGCCCTTCGGATTGGTTTCTGTCTGCGTGAAGAGAATGCATTTCAGACAAGAAGATGCACTTTTTCTGCTTTACAGGCATGTCAGTGTATTCATCCTTAAATGAAGATGTCTGATGCTTTAGGTCCCTGCAGCTTTCTGTTCTCTTCCTGTGGGCCACAGCAGGAAGAAAAAAGTAATTTTGTTTCTTCAAACATAAGGGGAAATAGGTGAATCTCACCAAATATTTTGTGGCTTAGTTTTGCTTAGTTGCTTAGACTACACGGCGATTTTGGACTTTTGAAATCATTGTATTCAGGGAATGGATAGTTCAACACATCTTTAAATTTTCACATTAATTTTGACCTGGTATTGCATTAATGTATATATGCAATGATGTCATGATATTCACAGGATGTGTGATCCAGTTAAGAAGGAAAATGCGTCTGGAACAAGCTACCCAGTCATGTTGTTTAAGTCAGTTCTTTCAAGAAACATCTGGATGCGTTCATCCAATCATTTAGTTTATATCCTTTCTCATGTTCTAAAATTGCTCTCAGTGAGTTAAAAGATTACATCGTTTGATATCTTCCAAGTACAATTCCTACCTGAACATCATTTGCAGAGATTTATAAAACATACATTCAAGGTAAACACTGAATAGTTAGTTTTCCTAGAGGAGAGGAAAATGGAGATTCTTTGACACTGCTTTATATGTCAATATATGTCAATGCCCTGTGTCAATAAACTCAAGGTTTGTAAAGCACTTGAGATATCTTTAATGATAAAAAAAACTAACTTTTAAGCTGATTGTTTAGGATGTTTATTTGAAAAACACATATTATTCTGAATGTCTATCATATGGATTGTGAAGTTGTTAGGACAGACTGGTGACATTCTCAAGCAATTGCCCCTTATTGGAAGATCAGATCCCATAACCTTATAAGAAAAGTGTGGAGCAAAGTAGAGTGAATTCATCATAAAACCAGGATGAAGATTAGGGATTTGGTCAATTTATGAGAATAAATGGGATATGTGGTATAATCAAAGTGGGACTGTGGGAAAGCTGGGGATTTGTCATGGAAATACTCAGCAAGTTATGTGGGTTTGATCATGCTATTCTAAGGATGGATTTCCTTATCCTGTTGGGTACTTCAGACAAACCATGGCTGAATGATTAACTTAATACACTTTTATTACCTGCATCTTTTTAACCATTTTCTACCTCCTACTCCCTCCATGTGGTGGCTTCAGTGGCATTTTTATACAAAGCAGATCAACTCTTAATACATATGATTATCAAGATGACAGCATCATGTTGTGCACCTGTTTTGTTTTTTTTAAAGACGTCTGAACAAACCAAATACATTAGGCTACCAGCTGATCGCACACTGATTGGCAGACCCTACTTCTGAAATCTTGCTGAGTCTTTTAGCGGACGTGATCTTCTCCAAGAGTTGATTTTATAGGGCTTGTGAAGAATTAGGCTGATTATTATCCTCTGTTAAGTAGGTGAACTTGATTACCCAAGGCAGTGCAAGTAATGGAATGATTGGAGCATGCAGCTTCATGGTCTTTAGTTGGGGTTAGCTAGAATGGCATAATCAGCATCTAATCAAGATTGCTGAGGAGAGAATGGAAAATCTTTGCTGTGGGACTGAGGCACTTAACTTAGTGTCGCAAATGATATGGTGCAGTAACCCTAGGAGTTTTTCACCTGAATTTCTTCATCTGCATTTGTAGTTCCTAGAGCGGGGAATGGTACCGAAGTAATACGAGACGATGTGGAGCACTTTTTTAGTGCTTCTCATGTAATCCATGATGTTTATCATCAAGTTCAACCTGATAAAAAGTTTTTCCATTTACAAAACAGCTACTTTGGAAGGACAGAATTCCACTTCAGCTATCAGCGGGTGGTTTGCTGGTTAATTATGAGCTAGTCCTTGGAAAGCTCCCTGTGTAATTCAGATCTGAAACCATAACCATACTTGGAGGATTAACTGAAGGAGACTCGAGTATTGAAATAGGGCCGACTCCCTTTTTTGTGTTTTGGAAATTTGGTGGGTATATTTCATGTTTCAGAAGCATAAAGTGAATCTCAAAACATAGTGAACGTCAAGAGTAATCTCTGCTAGGCGGACTAACATTTTATTGATCTGGCATGACAAGAGAAGAATTCATTATTGTGGGTGACTTGTTCCGAGCGAGCACATGCCTCTTCCCCAGTCTCTGAGCTAAAGATGCCACACATCATCCAAGGTTCTTCCCGCTGTGCAAACCAAGCATCCATGGTATATCGGTGACATTCCCAGCTCAGAAGAAAGCCAGCGTCCCATGGGGGTGCATTTTCCTGCTGAAGTGTCAAGTCAAGATGAGCCTGCAAAAAGCGTTAAGCAAGATCTCAGTACGCCACACAGTCGAGTTTCCATCTATTGCTAGAAGCCCAGTTTTGTAGCAGTTAGATACTCTATCACACCTAGACCTTCCCATCGATTGGTTTGTTGTGCGTAATGGCAAGGGGATCTTTCTGGACGTTTGTTTAGCTCACTGGTGTCCATCAGGGTCACACAATCCTTGATTCATCACTAAACAGGACTTGATCCACTGGATGGGCGGGGGGAGGGGTTGGAGCCTACATGAGGTGTTGCTCCAACATACCGAAGGCATACATGGTTCTTTATGTTCTCCAGGCTCGACAATCAACACCTCGTCACCAGTACCCAATCAGTGGCAACAAGGTGATTTAGTGCTTACACAACAGTTTCTCAAGACTATCACAGTATGAAATGAGCCCTTATTCAAAGTAATAACAAAAACATATAATCAATCTTCTGAATCTATATACTTTATTTTTCTGAAAACATGCTATACAGTTAGATACACTTTTGATGCTCATTATGCAGTATTTTGGAATTTTCTTGTGGTACTTTGGGGTGTCCAGAAATATGGAAGAATAAAGAACTTTATATGTAATTGCATACAGTACAGTACATTTGGAGTCAAAAGTCAATCTGAGTACCAAATTTGTACTAATACTTAAATATGGAAATATAGACTTGAACCTGAAAGAAAGTGGCAGGCTGTGAAAGACGCTTAAACTAAAAAAAATCTCTTGTAATGAATTTGTTGGTCCGCTTGTTGAATAATGAGGTCTTTGTTGTGCTTAAGGCTGATTGCTTTGAGTGGTTGCTGTGATAAAGGATGAGGGTTTGTATTTTTCAGACATATAAACGTGATTTGGAGTTTTTGATGCAGTTCCCCATAAATCCAAATAAGAAATTTAGATGAATCTCCCAAACACAAGCCTTAAAAACACCTCCAGTCCCAGCATGCTTGTGAAGAATGTTTTAGAGTAAAATATAAACATCTTCCCATATCCCAACAATGCTTCAAATTGTCAAATTTGATTTGGATTATATAATTTCGAGCAGAAGCTAATCCAGACTTTTTTTTTCCTGCCTGTTTTCATTGTTTCTTCTTAATGTTCTTTTAGGTGTTTTTCTTAGTGTATACTGTACATGAATACCTACAGTATACACCAATACCAGATCATGTCCGTAGAGAGAGAAACATTAAGAATTTGTTTTTTTTTCCTTGGTGCTGGAGGCTGAGGTCTGGCAGGTGTGTGTAAAGAGATCATTTGCAGACTCTAACTTGCTAGCTAGTACTGCTGCCAGCCATCTCAGGTAAAGGCATTTGCTTCTGTGACATTTAGCCCTGAGGGGATTCCTGGAATTAATATAATGGTTATTAACCATATCAGGTTAACATGTCAAAGGGTTTGTACAGATTGTTCCTTTGGGCACATGTAGCTGTATTAAAAATTCAAAACCTTTATACACAAGGTTTTCTTGAGAAGCTCCGTTTAAGGGAGTTGGAGGAGCCTGCGGTGTATGATACACGGTATCTTATTTAAGCCATTTATTGCTACTTAAATACAAGTGTGACAAGAGAACTGTTTAGGGCTTTTCATCTGACAACATTGCTGTAAAAATCTAAATTTCAAACACTTATTACTGGATGGTAAAATGTTTTAATTAAGTTCACTGAAGGAAGAGAGAAAAGATAAGATGCTTTTTTTGAATGAATATATACAGGTACAGTATACTGTCTGGAGTTGCTGTGCAATTCAGGTTTAAGAATATATTCATCACTTAAAAATGGTGTGAGTTTACCGCACAATATACACTTTCTACAATTTATTTTTTGTAGCTGTAAATAGAGACCAAGATTATAAGCAGACTGAGGTATAAAAGGCATTAAATTGACTGTCCAAAACAGATGAGTTGGTTTTGTTACTGCATGCTTGAAAAAATAAAAGTTGGAATGTCTTTGGAAGATATCTTTGTCCATAAATAGGTAAATATTGTAGATAGAAATATTTACAAATAGTCTCATTCTTGTTTTTTTATATGGTTAAACCTTTAATTTCTGTTGTACTTTTTATCTTCCAGCCTTATCTTATATTTTGTATGAAAATTGTCAAAGGCTGCAGATGAAATAAGCGCTATGAGTTACAGATGGAGGAGTAGGAGACCACTGATGCAGCATGACAGGACAGTGGTGAACAAACTTTACAATATGGAAAGGGCAGTCACACTTCTGATCCTGTTTCCCAATATTGCTCTCACTTTCTGACTTTTTCACTCTGAAATCTACAAATGCCCTAACATTTTTCCCAGGACTGTAGCCACGCTGGGACATTAATAAATTGTAATTACTGATTTTTGCTTGATTGCAGCTACCAGCCTTAGATATACTGCCTCTGAAATATGGGCAAAGCTCCTGTTTTTTTTGCAAAATAATTTTTAAGATGTTGCATCTTTAATGTTCAGGGGTGTATTCAATTAAAAAAATGTTTTTGCAAATGAGAACTATGGCTGTTTCAGTGCTCATTTTTAAGGAGCAGTGATGAAAAGAAACTTTTTTCAAAGTAGCTTTTACTGCAGATCTTCCATGAGCACTTTCATAAGTGAGCCCACATACCTACAGTACTGTTATCATATACTGTACACGTTCTAATACAGCACACACACAGAAGCTGGGGACAATGTGGCTCTGATTTATTCTTTATTCATTTCTTTGTTCTGTCTCCCCTTTAAGATGTCAGACATACAAGTTATCTACTGTATGTGATGGCTTGATTATTTTTGTACTCAGAAAGCTGTAACCCTATGGAAGTTCCTTATACTGTAGCATCACAAGTTTGTGATTTGTTTGGATAAAAACTGTGCTTTGAAACATTTACAATACTTTGAAGAAGATGACTGATCACTCAAACAAGATAATGTACATAAATTCCAAGTTTTCTGAATTAATATGTATATCACAGGCACCCTAACAAGTTGTGCAGAATTCCAAGTGAAAGGAGGGCATATTGTGTCACCGCCACACTGAGACATTGATCTCTTATAAAAGAGAGTGAATTAGTAATAAATTATTTTACTCTTCCCAGATTCACAGAGCATGGCTTTTCCAAACCTTTGAACAGTTCAGAATGTAAATAGAATTTGTAGATTTACAGTTGAGGTTTTGGTTTTTGTTCATAATGCTTCCTGCTCTGCTCTATGGATATTTTCTTTTACATAAAGCGCTCTTGTTCAGTTCAGATTTTTGGGAATAAACACATGGTGCACAGCTGGAACTGGGGTTGTGAGCTACATCCCCAGTTCCTTTCCCACACTGCTTCATTTAGGTACATGACAAAGCTGACATTTATTTCGGCCCCCGTGGCTAAAGACAGAATATGTGCAGGTAAATCTTATAGAAGAACCTTTGAACCTTTGAAATATGCCCCGGGAAAGT